AAAAAAAAAAAAAAAGAAAAAGAAAAAGACAGAGACTCACTATAGTACAGGCTGGCCTTGAACTCGCTCTGTAGCCCAGGCTGGCCCCCAATGCATGGCAGTAACTCCTGTCTTGGCCCCCCAAGTGCTGGGATCACAGACGTGCACCACCATGCCAGGCAGTCTTCGCAATCTAACTGAGCCTGTTCCTTAGAGTACACAGCTCCCTATCCTACTGGTTTGTTGGCATCAGAAGCCTGATCGAGCTGGTTACATCAAGTCTTACTTCACTCCTGGTCTCTGTGTGGTAGGAAGGAGCCAGTCCCTAGAAGCCAGTCTTGCCCCTGTGAACCCCAACAGCTCCCATCCTGGGGAGACTCTCGTAGGACCACTGGAGAAGGGAGAGGCCCTCCTGGGAGGGGAAGCCCAGGAAGAGACCACAGAGACCAAGCACAGGTGACTTGTTTATTGCAAGATGCCTATTTCAGGGAGCTGGTCTGACTAAAGGAGCCCCTCCCACGGCCCCAGCCCCAGAATAGACAGATACAGTAATGTGGAATCTAAACCAGTTGCACATAAATAGGAGATCAGCAAAGGAAAAAAAAAAAACAACAGAAGAACCGTGCCACTTCCTATGCTGCAGCACTGTATCCGCGGCTGGTCTCTCCCACGCTGGCATTCTCCTCTGGGTGAAAACCTTCTCACCCTGACCTCCGGATCCTTCCCGGCACCCCCACCCCCACCCCCGCCACTGCAACCCAGTCTGGCAAAGGAGTCGAGAAAATCAAGACGGCTTCTCTTTTAAAAAACAAAAACAAAAACAGAATACAAAGTGCTTCTATGGTTTTTTGCACCTCCCAATTCTGACGGGTGAACCATGTCCCCTGACAACTAACCAACCAAAAGAACACGCTGAGCCCAAGCTATGAAATGAAAACATATTGCACGTGGTTACAGGAGTCTTCCTGAGATCCCCTCTGCTGCAGGTCCCCAAACACTGGCTTTCTGTCCGCTCACCCCTTGCCCTCCAGTGGTCACGGAGGCAGCTTCACATACCGATGTGCACCCCCTCTCCAAATCCCGGCAACAGTAGGCATCGACGTTGGCCCAACTCAAAGCCTTGGCTGCGTGAATCCCACGTACCAGAAGCAGGTGGCAGAGGGAGGTGGGATTGTCGGTTTCAAGCCTTTGTCTTTAACACCCTTTTCCCCTCAAGTGGTCATCAAAATTCTACAGAGAAGACCATACTCATGATGTAGAATCTTCTGGAACAAGGAGCTTGAGAAGTGTTTCTCCCTCTCAACCATCTGCTTCTGGAAGGGAAGCTCTGTCATTACCCGAGGGTCCTTCACAAGCTGAGGTAAAACTCGCTGCCTCACCTGGAATGGGAAGTGTGGCGATTATAATTATCTCTTTTCTCTTAAGGAATTTTCAAGTATCATCAAATCCCTGATGCATTATGTAAACAAGACATCTTGCAGGACAGAGAGCTAGTTCACTTGGAGAAGCAGCAGCACGTGAAATACCTACAAGGCCCAGAAAGACTTCAGGGTCAACGAAGGTGAGAGCCACCTGCTGGGCCTGGCAGGCGGGCGCTCAGGCACAAGCACACCCAGGACCTTCCAGTCTGGAGCCAGGGATGGAGAGAACCAGCGGCAGCATTGATGAGCGGAGATCCTGGGCTTGTGGTGGGAGCGTCACCGACATCAGCAAGGAGTGGAGATGTCAGAGGCTAAAGCTGGTGTGCTTATGGGCGAGTGGTCTGTGTGCAGCTCCCCGGCCGCTGGCTGCTTACCAGGACTTTGGTTCGCTGGAGCCCTGCTTGAGACTGGCCACCAAGCCTCCTCTCTGTACCCAGGCCTGTACACAAGAGGTTTTTCCGAGGGATGCTTTCCAGTGAGGTACGTCACTGAATACTTGTTCCAGCTAGTTTTATTAAAAACATATGCACCCTCCTCATCCATGGGCACCAGGCTCCAGGAATGGCCTCTCCGGCTTAGCTCTCCCGTTTGGTGCTCTCTTCCTCCACCTGGGGCTTTGAGGCTTCTTGCACGGCCCCAGGGAGCCTAGCTATCAAAACAGCCAGCTGGAAATACGTGGCTGCTGCTGTAGTAGCTGCTTCTGTAGGTGGCGGCAAGGCAGTGCCTGGGCTCGGCAGCGATGGCCATTTGCACGCTGAGGGACCCGGGGACGGGCATGGGACATGTGTCCAGGGGCTGCAGGGCTGGGTATGGGCTGTGCAGGGACAAGCCTGTGCCTGCAGACAGCACACTCCTCGAAGCCTGTGCCTGCAGTGAGTCCCGGTAGGCCAGGCACAGGTCCTGCATGGGGGCCTGAAGCCGGGCCAGGGCGGCCGAGGGGTGGCTGACCGTGGGATAGGCGGGTGAATGCAACAGCACTTGGGTGGGGGTTGGTGGCGTGCCTGGCACCATTGCCAAGGCCTGGCTCTTGACCGCAATGGCATCCTTGAGGACACTGTCATATGCTCTGAAAGGAAAAGACTATGGTGAGAGCTGGAGGAGAAAGGTCGCCAGACACCTGTGCGCATCTCTGCCTTCCTTACTGGACCTGGAGGGACGCATGTGTCCTTAGGGCCGGACTGTGTCTGTACAGGTGCTGGAAGCCTCTGCTCCTCATCAGCTAGACCCAGGGCTCAGCTCGCAGCCTGGTACCGCTGCCTACAGAGAAGCCCTCAAAGCCAGATCCGCTGGCCCCACCTGGCCCCTTCTTGGCAGGTAATGCCCCAGAGACTAATGGGTCCATCTGCTTTTGGCCCCGCAGACTGCTCCAGGGTGCCTGAGAGCACAGAGCACAGCCTCTCCCTGCTGCACATCTGGGTCACCCCTCAGCTAGCTGGATTTTGGGCTAGGTGCCCGCTGGGGTCTAAGTGAATCTTTAGGTAGAGGGATACAACAGCCTTCCCTCCATCCTAAAGCGCCTACAGAGTGTGTGATGCACACCTATAATCCTGGCACACAGGAGACTGAGACAGGAGGACCGCAGAGGGTTCGAGGCCAGCCTGGGCTATAACGCAAGATCCTGTCTCCAAATAAGTAAGTGAGTGCTGGAGATGTGACTCGGCAGGAGCGTTGGTCTAGCATGTGCGAGGCTCTGGATTCAATCTCCGGGTGCCTCAAAAAGAAAAAAAAAAAAAAAAAAAAGCTTCCCATAAAACTTTGGGAAAACAAAACAGTGAAAGCCTCATGGAAGAAGGAAGCGAATGGAGGCTGCAAGATGTGAGACAGCAGCAGTCCAGAGCAACACCTGTCAGTGCAGAGCGAGGCTGGGCAGATGGCTGAATATTGCACAACCCCAGCGCCTCGCCTCCTGGAAAAGCAGGAGCAGGGCTGACAGTCCAGAGGGTGAGACAGAGGCGGCTGCCAGTGCAGCTTCCTCCATGTATGTGGGGAAGTCAAGAGATGGCTCTTCAGAGCCTAAGGGCTCTGCTCTCACCATCCGGGCCCACCACAGTCAGGCCAGTTGGTGTCCAGGACAGGCCGCCCCTCGTGGGGTGGGAGAAGTCCCCACAGGACCTGTTCCCTCCTGTCAGCCCTCCTCTTAAAGCTGCTAGGAACCTCTCTGGCCTCCTAGATCAGCTTCAGTGTTGGGTTGAAGATGCCTTTAAGCATCTTCTCTGATACCCCAAGAGCTTCCTTCCTACAACTCTTCGGGACCACTGGAGGAAGGCTGCAGCCTTGTAGGTGACAGCACTCTAGTTCTAGCTGTCTTCGAGGTCAGCTTTGCAGCTGCATCTGAGAAAGCAGCTTCTAAGACTGTCCGTGTGATCACCCCCAGGATCATGTCAGGACTTAGATCAAAGTGCTCAGAGCTTTGAAGAAGGTGCACACAGGCCCTTTTCCTTCATCCCCAATCTTACAAATGCAGAGCCAAAGCTGCTGCAGACAGAAAGGGCCGGCCAGCATCCCATGCTCTGGTGGTGGGGGAACTTCCACCTGCCCCAAACTTCAGGAATGTCCTGACCCCATGCGGCCTTCACAGGCAAGCAAAACCTCAATGTTTCAGAGATGCAGGTCAGGAAAGGAACTCACACCAGCAGGATTTCGATGCAGGCACTGAGGTGTTCCAGGGCATAGCTGGAGATCCGCTGCAGCTCTCTGGTCCAGCAGGGAGAAAGCTGCAGGCAGATCCTGGAGGCCCCGATGCAGGCGGCAGCGACCACAGAGGGCTGGAATTTGTAGAATATGTGATCTGAAAGAAAACCCAGAAAGGTTCAGTGTGGTAGAGCTGCCCTGGAGAGTCTCAGGTCACCCCCAGAGGTGGAGGACAGTGAAGACGTTCCAGAGGGGTCGCCGCTACCCTTCTGAATGGGATAAGAAATCAGAACACAAGAGGCTTGCTCCCTACTCTCAGGGGCTGACAAGGGTGGTATTTCAGAATCCTGTCCACTGCGAAGAGCTGGCTGAGGGGCCGCACACAGAACCCCAGAACATCTGTCCCTTTCAGGTTGGTATAGGTGAATGACATTGCTCCAAAGGGCTCACTCGAAGTCTGAAGGCTCCTAATAGCAAGGACATCTAGTCTACAGCGCCACTCAGTAACACTCTGTTAAATGAATGAGCGGCAGAAGGAGCTCAACATTCACAGTGAAACTGGGGACTTCACCTGGGTTTACTGGGAAGTCACACATCCTGATAAGACAGACAGCACACGGCAAAAGGGGTACCATTTTTGTGCAAAAGCAAGCAGCTGAGATTCCTGGAGTTCTTAGGAATAATACTTGGTTTTCAGGGCATTCCTATGTTACACTAAGTGGCTAACGATTTTCTATTATTATTATTATTATTATTATTATTATTACTACTATTATTATTATTTGTGGTACCGGGGATTAAACTCAGCACCCTGAGCTTGCCAGGCAAGCACTTATTCTACTGAGCTATCTCCCCAGTCCTGATTTTCTTTTCTTTTTTTGGTACTAGGAATCAAACTCAGGACCTTATGCTTGCCAGGCAGGCTCCGTGCCACCGAACTATATCCCAAGCCCCATGAAATTCAATTACTTCAAATTAAAATTGATTTCAGAGCTCCAGGAGGACCAAAGCGTCTCACAGAATTCCAGGCTCTCTCGGGCTAAGACCAAGCCCTTCTCTGGGGGACCCATATTTATTCAGTTATCAAAAGAAAGGAGGAAAGTGCTCAAGAAGGGTCGAACACACAAGGATTTTTCCAAATAAGGTGTGAAGTTGATCCACCCAGAGTCCACTTTTGTTTTTTAAAGGAGCAGTTAGATATTACGGTTACAGTACAGTCATGGAGTTGAGTCTCAGGTTCAAGCCCTGGCAGTGACGTGGGCTAAGTTTAGCCATCGGACATCAGTTCTCTCCTATGTAATGGGCAAAACTGAAATGATCTTTGTGTAGAGTCACCACTAAGTTTAAAGGAGTAGGGGAAGCTCTGCAGTAAGACGCTGAGCATGCGTAAGTGGCCCATAAATGTTTGGGGCTGCAAGGACGGGGCCTGCCACGCAGGGTCACTTTAGTTTGTCGAGCATTACTGATGGGCTGTATCGGCAGTATCTCTCACTGGCATTTTACCTAACCCCCAAGTTCTTGGTGTTTTTGAAACAGCCTTGTTCTATGGTCTAGGCTGGCTTTGAATTCATGATCTTCCCGCCTCAGCCTCTTGATTGTACCTAAGACCTAGATTTAAGACCCTGGAAAGAGCAGGTTTCAAATGAGAGTGCTCAGAAAGGGTAACTTCCCTTGCCGAAGCACACAGAAGCCAAGTTCGCTCCTGCTCTGTCTGCGTGAGGATGAGTCTGCGAGTTTCAGGGGCAGGATTACCAGGCAGACTGCCTCTGAGGGTGCTGGCTGCTCCCGTGAAAGCTGCTGTTTCATTGGGGCATTGTTAGTGTCACACTGGAGAGCCCTCGCCCCTGCTCTGCTTGCCCCCTCCAAGGCGGGTGCTCAGGACTGTCACTGAGGAAGCCCTCAGGCAGGGCCACCTGACCCCAGGCCCTGGGGCCCTGCCATGGGCCCCCATCGTGTCCGTGGCCCTCACCTTGCAGGGTGACCTCAAGGAAGTAGTGGGCGTACTCCTTGAGGCACTCTTTGGTCTTGCGGGGGCAGGCGCTGGGCCAGGTGTGGCAGTGGTGGTCCTTCTGGCTGACAGAGGCCAAGAGGTAGTAGTCCAGGAAGTGGGCAGGCGTGGGAAGGCAGAGGTTCCAGCTGAAGGCCTCCAGGAGCAGCAGCTCGGTGCTCAGCAGCTCCTTCTTGGTGAGGGAGAAGTTCTGGCCGCTCAGGACCCTCGCGCCATTTATCTGCTCCAACTTGGGCACGTGGTCTTCTCTATCCTCAAACTTACCTATGGGGGCAAGAGGGCAGAAGTCACCGGAGTTCTTACCTACAGCCAGGATGCTAAAGGCCTGCCTTCCAGCACCTGCATATGCTTGTGTAGGGGATAGAAAGAAGCAGAAGGCTGATGGCTGAGGAACAAGGACACACATCCAGCATCTGTCAAGCCCAGGGTTGTATCCCCAAAACATCAATTCTAGCTGGGAGATCCCATATGGGTATCTCAACCTCTCTGTGCTTCAGCTTCCTCATTTGTAAAATGGAACCCGTATTTCCAGGCTTTGTGAGATTCACCGAGGAAATGTGTGCTACATTACAGCATCTTCTGGAGCACTGCAGTCAGCCGGGATTGAGATGGGTTACCCCCCACCCCCGCCACCAGGGTGCTCTCCACAGCCCCTGCCAGGCTCTCCCCAACTCCACCTGCAGCCCAGAGTCAGAATGACCTTGAAAATCTGACCTTGCTCCTCCAGGTGGGGAAAGTCCTGGATGGCTCCCCACTGTCCTCACTATTTCAGATTCTGTCTGGGGTCTGGTTTGGGGGTGCTTGGAAGGTGAGCCAGGCAGGGCGGGCAGGCTGGGAAGGGACAGCAGCAAGGAGGAGCGCCTCCAGGTGCGTGCTGTCGAGTCACCGCGGCTGGCAGCTGGGGCTCCAGCCCCTGAGAGACTCTGGGAAATGTCCAGGCTGTGTTCCCACCAAGGATCAGGAGACAGATGCACCCATGTACTAACTTGGGGGTTGGTCGTCAGTGTGGACAGCTCACTGGAAACCAGGGCTTCTCTCGCCCTGGGGGTCGAGGCCCCTGGCCATCAGGCTGTGCCCGCCCCGTCCTGTGAAGGCCCGATGCTCCACACCCTGGACGTCGCCCACATCTGCCGTGACCTAGCCACTGGCACTTGATCTCAAGAGCTCATAGTGTTCTCTTGCCTGGTCCACGCAGCACCCCGGCCCCTCGTTGTGGCCTTCCCTTCCAGGTCACTGCCTCTCAGAAGCCTCTACCAAATCCCCTCCAGGGTCTACTCTCAGGCTGGTCACCTGCGGCCACCAAGCCCAGGGTCACAGGGTTCAGAGACGCTGTCGGGAAAATGTCAGAAAGTCTGGGGGTGCCCTGCCCGGCCCTCAAAGGGAGCGCAGCCAACAAAGCACTTGTGAGCGCATACCTGCTTGCACCGCGAGGCCCCTGCCCCAGCTCTCAGCAGCCTCCCAGGCCCCAGGGGAGGTAAGGAAGTGCCACCCACCCACCTGCAAGCCTGCTCCTTGAGAGACACAGCCCTCACTGCTAACGGAAGCGAGGTCTGTGTAGCTCTGGGCTGAGGGGGAGGGGCCGAGCAAGAGGACAGCACTGTGACCCACAGAGCTCACACTAAGGTGTCTCCACCTCTGTCAGCTGTCCTGGCACCGTCCCTGAAGCGCACACCTTGTATGTCCTGCACACCCAGGCAAGTGGGGCAGGAAGCACAAGGTCAAAGCTGCTCAGAGAAGCTCCCCTGCAGGGCAGAGCAGGGGCCTGCCAGGTCCTGCAGCCTGGTACACAGCATTCCTTGCCCACAAACAGGATGCAGGTAGGTGGACTCTGGTCCCTTTCCTGGCCGGGGAGCCCCCTGCTCCAGCTCTGAGAGAGCCGCTGGATGTCCTCTTAGCCCGTCTGACACTCAGGTTATGTTATCAAAATGAGCAGAAGTGGCCGCACCTGATCCCAAGACCTCCAGGGCCCATCCTCAGGGGCCTCTGGGCGAGCTACCCGCTGCTCTGCTGCTCCAGCATGTTTTCGGCCCTCAACAAATAGTCACTGCACGATCAGTGCTTCCTGGACGGAGGAGTTTTGGGCCACTTGGCTTTTTTTTTTTTTTTTATCTTTTACTCTATATTTTCCTCCGATAATCATGCGTTCAATTTTTCACAGCACTGCCCAAGTTTCCCTGGTGGTGTGCACTCAAAAACTAAAGCCCCCTTCCCCACCCCACCCCTTTTTTTGTGCTTGAGATCAAGCCCAGGGCTTCCTGTATGCTAGAAAGTACTCCAGCTCTGCAGCCCCACAAGCTCACTTTTCTTCCCAGAGGAGAAAGTGGTATGTGCCCCAGCGGACACGGGCAGTGAGCAGAGATGGCCCTGAGACTGTCAGGCAGCGCGGCTGGCGGCCAGCTATTACTAGGCCAGCAGATGTGCTCGATCGATCGGACTACTGTCCTCTCCTCCCCTTCCTGCTGTTAGGCCTTTCGGAGCTCTGCCTCCAACCGGCAGGGCCAAGGCTAACTGATGGGTCTCACACCTACACACACTGGCCACCTCAGTCCCCACCCTGGGAGGCCTGGGCACCTGCCACACTGCCAACCAGAGCCAGGCAGATCCCCCGGGAGATGCCAGGGACAGCGTCCCACTCACACAACTCACACAAGAGCCATAAGTTCTTGTCGCTTCCCCGATGCAATTTTTGTGTTGAAAATCTTCAAATCCACAGTGAAGACAAATGAACAGAACAAGAAGAGCACGTGATGCTTCCCCTGGACTCCCCAGTTGTGGACAATAAACACACTGTGGTGTGTGTGTGTGTGTGTGTGTGTGTGTGTGTGTAAATGTTTGTTCTTCTGGACTTTGTCTTTATTCGTCTTTGTGGTACTAAGGATGGAACCCAGGAGTTCTGCACTGAGCTATAGCCCCAGCCCCTTTTATTTATTTATTTATTTATTTTAAAATTTATTTTATGTGTGTGTGTGTGTGTGTCCAGCTCAGCCCACCAGGGGGCGTGGCTGGCTGGCATGTGGTGCTGGGGGATCGAACTGTGGTCCCTGTGCTTCGCCAAGCTTGCTCCAAGCAGGTGCCCTAGACCACTGAGCCATCTCGCCAGCCCCAAAAATGCAGAAGGTTGTTTTTTTTTGTTTTGTTTTGTTTTTTTGTAGCTTGCCATTGACATGCAGCAGCGCTGGTCTGGGTTGCCTTGAGTATGCGGGAATGGAACCACCGCTCAAAGAAACTGACTGCCTCCTTTAAGCAGGCACTTAAACAACTGAGCTAATGGGCGGGCCCCCCCAGCCCCTTTTATTTTGAGACAGTCTTGCTGTGTCACTGAATTGCGCAGGCTGGGCTGCAGTGTGTGACCCTCTGGCCTCCTGCTTCCACAGTGCTGGGATTACAGGTGTGTGCCTCCACGCCTGCGGCTCTGCTTCTTGTTAAACTGTAAAGCTGACATGCCATCCTTAAGCAACTTCAGCATTTCTTCCCAAGTACACTTTCCTACAATCATCACAGTACTGGCAATTCCAAGCCATCAAAATTTCAGGTATTAGTATTCTGAAATCTAGTCCACATTTAACTTTCTCCAGGCATACTGGGCACACTTTTCTTTTCTTTCTTTCTTTTTTTTTTTTTTAATATATTTATTTATTACATTTATTTATTGTGTGTGTGT